TACAGCGTCGGCAACAACAATGGCAACAACATCCGACCCCAACAACTGATCCAACGACGTGCAACGGTTGCCGAACACAAGTACCACCAAGACCGCGACACATACCGCGCTGCCATCATTGTCGGGCGACTCAACCCGGGAGACAGGACGTTAGAACACGGACGTCCGACAGCGGTCAGCAACATAGAGATGTTCCATCAGGACAGCGGTCTACACCGTCACAGGGGCCCGGACACCGACTACAACAATACTCAAGCCGACAGACGACCTCTACTACGACGACACCTCAGATTAATGTACTCCCACACGATGACGGACCGGGTCCGGATAGGCAGTCGGCCACAGAGATACATATACATTCAATTCTGACAAACGACGTCGAGCAGGCCGCGGTTAACAAACGGACACATCGCAGTCCCAATGGACTCCGATAACAGAGCAACACTGAGTCCTCAGGGTGTCCGATGATGATGTAGCATTTACGTTTACGCATCCATTGAAGACAGTGATGGCAATAAAAGATCCACTGTTGTCCTCCGACAACCGTGTCTATATACAATTGCAGGTGAATGGCCATAAATTCCGAGCGTTGGTAGATACAGGTGCAAACCGTAGTTGCATCGCACGCGCATCCGCAGACCTCTTAGGACGATCAATTACACCAGCACCAATATATTCATTTATGTATTTGGCGGATAGTCCGACAACCGTGTCTATATACAATTGCAGGGGAATGGCCGTACATTCCGAGCGTTGGTAGATACAGGTGCGAACCGTAGTTGCATCGCACGCGCATCCGCAGACCTCTTAGGACGATCAATTACACCAGCACCAATAGATTCATTTATATATTTGGCGGATAGTCCGACAACCGTGTCTATATACAATTGCAGGTGAATGGCCGTACATTCCGAGCGTTGGTAGATACAGGTGCAAACCGTAGTTGCATCGCACGCGCATCCGCAGACCTCTTAGGACGACCAAGTACACCAGCACCAATAGATTCATTTATATATTTGACGGATAGAGTAGTACGAACTCCTCGCCCTACGATACGTTATGGCTCAGAGATCATCAACGGGTCGTTCGAGTTGATGAATCTCCTAGACAGTATCGATATCATACTAGGGCTGGACATGATGACGGACCTCGGATTATACATTGGTGGGATTCAGTCACCACTCGCGCCCATTGACCCAGCGGAGCTAGATGACCTCCTTAAACCTATGGCTCGTCGTCAAGGCCCAATACCACCGAACCAGACGGAGTACGGACAAGGCTGGCTGCAGTTTTAGAAGCGAACGCCGACATTGCAGACAACGCACGTTGCCGCTTAGAGGGGAGTGAGGTGGCGATACCGATGACACGCGAGCAAACCATGAGTATGAGAAGATCGACACGCAACTTTGTATCTGAGCGTTGGTTGCCGTATGTCGACGAACAAGTACAGAAGTGGTTGAAGGACCTAGTGATTACGAAACAGATCACATCAACGACGGTAATCTTCTTTTACTAGCAGTTCCGACATTCGACAGTGAGGGTAATGTGAAGAAGGTACGCGTATGTCTAGACATGCGAGCGGTCAACGCACTGATTCCAGGACACCAGTTCCTGATACCGAAGGTGAATGAGATCATTTCATGGCTGAAGAGCAGGAAGTACTATACCGCATTCGATATATCAGCAGCATATCATAGACTACCAATACATTCGGATTCGAGATACCTGTTTAGTTTCACACACGATCGATACCAGTACTCGTTTACATCGGCAGATTTCGGGTTACACGTATTGACGCAACAATTCCAACGGACGCTCAGTACGATACTCGATGGTCTACCAGTCCACCACTACATTGACGACATTGTGATTGCCAGTGATAATTACGAAGAGCACATCGCTACAGTGAAGGAGGTGATCAGAAGACTGACGTACCACAGTTTCAAACTGAATCCGGCGAAGTGTCACTTCTCAATTGCAGAGGCTATGATACTAGGCAAGAAGGTCTCAGCTGCAAGGATTGACGTCGACTTTGAGAAGCAGGCTAAACTACTCGACTGGCCAACACCTTAGCGTTACAAGGATATTGCCTCCGCGTTGCGGTTAGCTAACTTCTTGCACGAACACCTACCCAATTTCGCACACGTGGTAGCGCCCCTACGAGAATTTTGCAAGCTAAAGCCGAATGAACTGATCGGGGATAGGTGACAACAACGCCATTCGGACGCGTGGTAAGCAATGAAGGACACAATAGTTAACGCGGTCGCAGTACGGTGGATGACGTCCCCCTCAACCTCGAGACGGATGCGAGTGACTATGAACTAGAAGGAGCACTGTTTCAGTGGGTAGAGGGCAAGAAGCACTACCAAATGTTTTTCACCAAGACCCTCAATCAGACTCAACAGAACTATGCGACACCAATGAAGGAACTCCTAGCGTTAGTCTACGGTTTGACACACTTCCGCGACTACCTTGACGGCCAACTCTTTGCGGTGTTTACGGTTCATAAAGCATTAGTATATATGAATACCCAACTGAAGCTTAATACCATACTACAGAGGTGGCACCATATCATAGCGCCCTGCAACTTCACAGTTTCACATATACCTGGGGAGAGGAATGTCCTACCGGATATGCTGAGTGGCATACATGAAGGGACCGCAGAAACAGACATGCCAGAGATCCTATATGCGGACTATTGGCAATTATTTCCCAGCTACTTCGAGCAAGCACAACGTACCTTTGGACACAACAACATAGACGTGTTTGCAGCACCCCACAACGCACAGTTTCCTAGGTTTTGGACAAAGAACGAACGCGACGGCGTGTTTGATCATGACTGGGCGTTGGTCGACGGGTAGATGAACCCGCCGTGGAAGTTGATACACCGCATGCTTCGGAAGATCAAAGCGGACGGGGCTACAGCGACGGTGTGCCTACCCTGGACTCCTCGCGCATCATGGGTTGACCTTTTCAAATCATTATTGCAAGCCGAGCCAGTGTTAGTACCACAGACCCCGCATATATTTTTAAAGTATGCGAAGTATGCCTGTGGGAAGACTCCATGGGGGCACACGGTAGTTGCACGAGTGGGCCGTTAGGATTCCAGCCAGCCGATAATTTTACACAAAGATTGGGCTGTGTCAAACCTCGACACAAAGCACACCATCAATGTTTGGATAGGGTTTAGCCTTTGCGTTGCGAATACCACACCGATGGAACAACATCGGCGTACACAACTCACACAGGCACAGCATGAGCAAGGCCACCACGGCGCTGCCGACACTGCCCAACAGTTACAACAGAACGGACACGTCTGGCCAGGGGCATTAGAACTGGCTACAGAGATCAAGCGGCAATGTGGACAGAGTTTGAGCCAGGATACCCTACGTAAAGGTTTCCATCCGATGATGAACTTAGACGCAAAGTACCCTTGGTATCACATTTAGGTGGACTATATTCCAATGCCCGTAACGTACACACGTCAGAATATATTTGTCCTCCATGTATTAGACGTGGCTTCCGGCTATTCGATCTTAGGTGCCACACCCGATAAATCTAAGGAAACCACCGGGCAGATGTTGTTGTCTATCTTTGGCGAACATGGATTCCATCGCAAGCTACAGACAGATATGGGTACTGAGTTTACTAACAACATGGTCGCCCTCATTGTCAAGAAAGTGGGTATACTTCACAAAGTATCACCACCATACAGACCACAGGTATTGGGGGCAACAACACGTTGGCACAAGAAGATAACACGTTCGATACGCATCGTCTGTGAGGCAGTATCCCAAGCATGGGACGAACGTCTGTAAACTTCGATGGAAATTA